TGGAGTTGGTGTCCAGTGTTCGTTGTTACTTTCCTGCAATGTTTTACTCAAACATCAAACAAAGACCCTACAGCAGATACGCTAGTTCTTTGTTGCCATCTTCAATAGGTCCGTCAACTACAGTAGTAATAGGTTTTTCATTTGACCCGACGAGACCACACGACGCTTGCGGATCACAGCACGAACAGTTCACCAGCCACACTCCACGAAAGCAAGTAGTAGTACTCCTGACAAGTCTTGTTTCGTTCCATAGAGATAATAACGGGGAACTCATCAGAGGAGAAGCAGTTGTTGAATGAAGGGGTTTAGCTGAATAATGCTATTTTATAGAAAAGATATTGGCGCACTGAGATTATCGAGGTTTGTGAAGTATTTGTCTTGTGCAGCTAGCAATCTTCAGATGTGACGTTAGGCGTCCGTGATGATTTGTTGGCTTTCACTTGGCGTCTACTTTTCACCTATCTTTGTCACTACCTCAGTACCATTTGTGACGTGTAAACTAGCGCAACCTATTCCTGTGTACCTCTCCTTCTCATTGTGAATGATTTAGCACTTGTGATACTTGTGTCTGGTAGGGTTCAGAACACCTCCATTCTGCACTATTCCCTTTTGTGTTGATACGTCACATATTATGTGAGTTAGTTGAGGGTTTACACCTCAGTGCGCCAATATCTTTTCTATAAAATAGCATTACACGAGTCACAGGAAAACCACGCGTCTTGATTGTCGTAACTTAAAGTTTCATGCCATATAGCAATCTTCAGCCAACTGATTACGGTGATGCACAGCTAGTATGGTATTTACACAGCAGCATAGGAAGGAATCTGTGAAGGTTTGAGGTCCGGTGGGTGCAAAAAGTCCTGGATGGAAAATGTGCCAAACTCACATGGTCCGTGAGTGAGAAAAGAAATGTGATATGGCAGGAAGGCAAGCAAGGCTGTGTGAAAGGATGATAATGATAATGTGGCTTGCCTGTAATCACAATCATGCAGGTGCAAGATGCCACACACTTTGGTAAGCGCTTAAAATAAGTTGGAGGAGGGGAGATACTTGCTCTTCAATGCACCAACAAAACAGGTGCAAGATGGAAATTTCCACGCGCTGTGATGGCTATAGGTGCTTAGAATGGGCGAGGAACATGAAAAGAAATGACCACGATGACGCGACGTCAAGCGAGGCTATATGCAAGATTCCACACCCATAATTAGAAGGGCTGCAGACGTTTGCAAATGGCTGTCGCGCGTCATGTAGCTGCAAGTCACGTGACTCCGTACCCACCAAGCAGGAACTTGGCAGAGTGCCTGCACTTTGATACGAGCTCCGTTCGCTTGTTGAGGGAGGTGCTGCGATCGGATATGCTGATGTGATATTTCTCTGCGATACATAGGTTGCAACGCTTGGTGACATTGGTGTAAGCCCGTGCACGTTCCTTGATGGACCAGCCAATCTCAGTCATAGGCCTTGTTCTAGCATTATTCAGCTAAACCCCTTCATTCAACAACTGCTTCTCCTCTGATGAGTTCCCCGTTATTATCTCTATGGAACGAAACAAGACTTGTCAGGAGTACTACTACTTGCTTTCGTGGAGTGTGGCTGGTGAACTGTTCGTGCTGTGATCCGCAAGCGTCGTGTGGTCTCGTCGGATCAAATGAAAAACCTATTACTAAGATACGCTAGCATGAGAGATTGTGGGTTGGAGTGCACAAGTGCAGGCTTCAGGGCGTAATTGAGGCAGGTAATTTTGTAATTTTTATTGTTTAATTTCCCCAAAGGTTTTCGCTTATCGAAGGGGTTTCCAAACTTTCCATAAGACCAAATCTGTAAAAGAAGTGATGAGCAATAGGTGAGCAAAAAACGAGATAAAGACATAGTCTAGGGCAGAGCTCTGTACTTGAGCATATGATTGTAAGCGTTCAGAACTGGGATAATACATGTAAAATTTTAATGATGGAAAGTGTGCCAGAGATATTAAAGCTTCTAAAAATACGATGTGACAAAACATACAATCATGTACATGTATTCAACGGAATTCCACTGCAGTGAAACCAATGCTCGTAGAAAAAGAGACTTGAACAGCGCTGTCCATGGTTTGTCAATATTACCTTATTGGGACGTCGTGCACTGGTTGTGATATGTATGCCAAAATTAGATAGGTAGTGGGGATAGACATTAACGTACTTGAACAGAAGGACAAGAGAGATGTGTTGCCTTCTATACTGCAAAAACTCTAGAAAATATAGCTTATTTTAAAAGATTTTCCTTCGTTTCATGTCACGGTGTCAAACTGAACCGCTTTCTTCCGCAAAAATGCGCGGTATACCTTAGCCTGCAGAATATCCTATGCTGAAAGTTGCTGTGCAGTCATGCGGCAGTGCCAGACCAGAATTGCATATTCTAACGCAGGCCGAACATACTGTTTGATAATGTTACAGATGGTGGTAGAGACCGTGCCATGAAGCATAGCGGATGCACTCTCCTTGGCTTGAGAAAGAGGTGTGGATGATGTCGTGCAGGTTACGTAATGAAGGCATCACAGCAGCTAGTAGTGGTGCGCGTACCTCCTTGCCTGGCGCCCGCAGACCGAGCAACTGCCGCAACAGAGTCAGTCATCGTTTAGTACTAGTCTATAGTAGGCTGCCCTAACTGTACTGGCCTAAGACTTACTAAGGGGCCTATTATGTGCAACTCCAGCCCGGGCTGGAGCAAGCGGGCCAGCCCGCCAAGGGTGTTTACATGTGCAAGGCCGGGCTGGTCGCCAGCCCGCAGTGAGTTTATGCGCTGAGCACACGCCAGCCCGTTGTGAGTATGCAGCGAACACACTACGACTGTGGTGTGCTGCCCCGGGCTGAAACGCAGGGCTGCAAGCCATACTCAGGTTATAATATAAACCTAAAAACTTTTTTTCTCACACAATGTATTCTTCTGCTGATTTCTTTTCGCGCTGTGGCACATGTTTGGTGTGTTGTATCACCTCGTTTCTTTTCCCTGTTTTTCACATTTTTAGCTGTCCATAACTCCATATCAAAGTATTTTGCAAGTAGTTCCCCGCCCACTTTAATGTAAATCATGCATGTCGACAAATAAACAGTGCTCACTGTACGTCCTTCTTGTTGCTGTACAAAAAGCTTCATAGATTTTCGGACAATATCGGGAATCCTCTTTATAACTACCCTCAAAAGGTAAAAGTACCTATTTTGTAGTATGAACGTAGTGTCGACACCATAATAATACAACTCTGGCCCGGGCTGGTCTGTTTATATGTGCTTTTTCTGGCCCGCCTAGCCGGGATCCCGGGTGCCTCGAGGCGGGATCCCGCCTCGCCGGGCCAGCCCGTTTGCCATGTAAACGCACCACAGGTTTTGTGTGGATTTGTGTACAACCCCGAGATCCCGTTGCAGGCGGGCTGGCCCGCCTGTCGACCAGCCTGTCGAGCTGCACATAATTATAATCACCCCCTAAGAGCTCCACAAGCAAAAGACCCTTAATTTATGATCGGGCGTTGCTCGAATAGTCGGGCAAGCAATGCGCTGCAAGCCCTTCTGGAGCGTCCCAGTACTCGAACAACGCGCGCGCAACGCAGCTTGGGCCTTCGACTGCCCAAATCTGCCTCCAAAGCCGGCCACGACCGTCCAACCGCTCGCGGGTCCATTTAATGGAACACCCTGCCATCCGAAGTGCGTGGTATTACCCAGTACCACCGGTTCAAACAAGCCTGCCTCCCGTTCTGTCTTGCTAGCAGTAGCACCCACTACTGAACACTACAGGAACCTCTGAACGATTGCGGTACTCCTCAGTACCAGTCATGTGCTGTTTACCGCCTCCCCGGTGTTGTATTCTAACGTTAACGTTATTCATTGACTCAGCGTTCTTTGCTTTGTACTACACCCTGCTATCATGTTAGGCTATTTCCTACAATATTTTATTGTTTCCATTCGCTTCCATGTAATTGGGCGACACCGTCCGTTTGGTTCTGCGAATTCAAATAAAAATGTACCTACCTAAGCGTAATTGTCCAGAGAATCAAGAGACCCAGGCACGTATCTGGGAGCTCTCAGAATAGGACTGCTGGGCACGCACGCAACACAATTACAGATCCACTTAAAGGGGAAGTTAAGGCAAAAATTAAAACTTCACCAGTTGTAGTCTTCGGGGTGCTGAGTCGAATGGTCGTGGTCCGAGGAAGCTGAGACGCTTCCTTCCTACTTGAATCCCAATCGAACTCGCGCACTTCCACCGAAACTGGGTGACCGCGCCCTACTAGATGGGGATTTGTATGCAAAAAGTCACTAAAAGCGCCATTTCGTTCTTATAAAAGCACGGATGACCGCGATTGGCCCATATGTTGTAGTCTTTTGGACGCTGAGTCGACTGGTTTTGGTCCGAAAAGGCTGCGATGCAGCGTTCCTCCTTTATTCCCAATCGAACATGGTTGAACAAGCGGTCACGTGCTCCTGGGTGCCCAAATCACCTGGTCACCACGCCAGCAGGCGACAAATTTCACACCAAGGTTCAACTCGAGTGACAGGAGTGCACCCAAAAAAGGTCAAACAGGCTAGTAAGTTGTACCCTGCAGGCACGGTGACCAGCTGACTGGTGTACGCAGGAGCACGTGACCGCTTGTTCAACCATGTTCGATTGGGAATATAGGAGGAACGCTGCATCGCAGCCTTTTCGGACCAAAACCAGTCGACTGAGCGTCCAAAAGACTACAACATATGGGCCAATCGCGGTCATCCGTGCTTTTATAAGAACGAAATGGCGCTTTTAGTGACATTTTGCATACAAATCCCCATCTCGTAGGGCGCAGTCACCCAGTTTCAGTGGAAGTGCGCGAGTTCGATTGGGATTCAAGTAGGAAGGGAGCGTCTCAGCTTTCTCGGACCAAGACCATTCGACTCAGCACCCCGAAGACTACAACTGGTGAAATTTTAATTTTTGCCTTAACTTCCCCTTTAAAGACTACATCTCCACTTCTGTGGGCACCAGTACCTCTTGACGAAACGTTGTTATGCGGCTCTTTATTTTTTCGTTGAAGTCACAAGTGGCATGCTTCTGGTAAAACGGGATGCCGGTTCCTTGGGAATGCTCAAACATGGGTGGTGCATGTCCTGAAGCAAATAGACAGAGCATAGCGGAGCATGATCCCACCACTGTGAGGGGTCACACGAAGAGGATGAGGCAGGCAATGAGGCAAGGACATGATGCCTATGCCTCTGCTATAACAATGTCACAACAACAACAGCAGCAGTAGCCGCAGCAGCAATGGGACAGCTCAACTCTCTTTGGGGTCACGTACAGGCCATGGCGAGAATACAACCAGCCGAGCAGACACCGTGACTGTCAACTGCAGCAGCGGTGGTGGCAGAGCAGCAGCAGCAGCAACACTGACGTCATGACTGCTACATTAGATGCACTAGATGTACATGTAGATGCATTTGGTAGCTTCGAAATTATCGCAGATAAAAAATAGTATTGACTGAACAGTTTGCTCAGGAATTGAATCACCAAGGTTATCTTTTTGTCTGTCACCAGTTAATCCCATATAGGATTAGACTTCAAGACGCATTTGCAGCCTCGAAAATGGTCGAAGTGGAAGCAATGTTATTGAAGATGCATTTTGATCTTTCCCACAATGCCTCTCTGTATTTAAAATGCATGAATAGAGGTTACTCACTGGCTAAGACCCCAGGAAAGGTATCTGTGTGCAATTATTGCTGATGAATTGCATTATTACAGAATTACAAGTGGTAGAAATAGACTAGGAGTGAAATAGATGAATATTAGCACCATCGTAGCATTGAAGTAGTGTTGTAAAGTGCTCGCAGATCAATATGAACTAAAGACACGACATGTTCGGGGCATTTACTAAATCAGTTGTGTTCAAGTATGTACACATGTTAATAGTGGAATACTCCCGGGGTACTAGCCTAGGAGGTGCTTCTTCTTTAGCCATAGATGCATAGAATGTTTTTTTAGCTCCATATGGGCTATACCTAGGCTTGGATATTGCCAACTATGGTTTTTATTGGCAGGGGAAACTGGAAAGAACAAAACCAATTTTTGAAGAGGCCACCTGGACACCTTTGCACGGGAAGGCCTGTTACAGAAAAAGTAAAGCCCTTGTGCTGGTGAAACTTGGCAGGCATCATCTCTGATAAACACGGAATGCAGACTCCAACAGGTTTTTGAAGAAAGAACTTTACTTTGTAAGGTATGATCTACCCTTTCCCAAAAATTGGGAAAAATCCTATAAAAAAATCCTGTACATGTATATAGGATTTGACAGACAAAGAGATAGAGCTGTGGTACTGATGAGGCCGTTATGGCCAAAACAGCTTGCTATCTACAGCATTGGGTGTATAGATGTATGTGTGTGTTTTTTCTACAATCATAGCTCCATGGACGCACCAAAGGGAGATCAGGTAGGGAGGATTAAGTTGATAAAGAAAACAGAAGAAAAAATTGTATTGCTCAGTTAGCAGACGAAAAAGTTGAGTATTTGTATGAAAACTGTTAGACTTTTAAATTCAAGAGGAGACTGTCTCTGAGGAGGGATTATGTCCAAGCAGGGTAGGACACTATACTCTCTTACTTGCGTATGCGCGCGCACGCGTGTGTGTGTGTGTGTGTGTGTGTGTGTGTGTGTGTGTGTGTGTGTGTGTGTGAGAGAGAGAGAGAGAGAGAGAGAGAGAGCTATACTTGGGAATTGCTGCAACCCAATAACTTCAGGTCCGTGTTCGAAAGGCATTGGGCATGCGTCCCTGAATGCAGTCTGCAGCTGTTGCAGCAGCCTGGCAGCTCAGGTATGCTGGTGTACTGCTGCTGGGCTCTCTCTCCCTGCCCAGATGATCTACTGCTGTACACCGGCATGTGCAGCACTTGTGAACACGGTGCTCCACCATCTCCACTGTCCGGTTCACAAACGCCTGAACGGATCCATAATCTGGGACATCATCCAGCAGTAGCTTCTTCAGGTCCCATGCAGCACCACCAAGCTCCAGTGCCACATGAGTGTAGTCCCGGCGGACGTTTCTACGGTGATAGCCAGTCACACGGCGAGGGCTACCTGTCACGAGTACCTTCTCAAACTGGCCCACAAAGCGACTGCTTCTGTAAACCACACCACCAGCATCCATGCCATACCCTTCACGGCCATCCAGCAAGAAAGAGTTGTCCACAATACACTCCAACTGTGCTCCACTTTTCCGGATCAATTGCTTCAAGCCGCTCCTTGTCAGAGAAGTAGCATCCCTGTGACGATCCCTATCCTCATCAGTGACCAGAATGACGATTGGGGCAACGCTAGCTTGGCGCAAACGCAGCTCCGGAATATCCTCCAGGGCAAACCTGATGGAGTTGTAGCCATCCTCTCGTGACCCAGAAGCCTGCAATGCAGCGCAGGCTTCTTGAAATCCATCCACTCCATACACTCGGTTTCCACTAGAATCCAGGATTACCCGCGGCCGGGCAACAGGATGTCTGTCATTGGGGAAATGGGACCGGCCAAAGCCAACCAAGCTATACTGGTTGGGGATATCGGGGTAGACTCCAATTCCATGTTTTCGTAAAGAATCTTCAAGGTATCTTATGGTTTCATGAAACCAGGCTTTTTGAACAGACACCATACTGTCTGACTCATCTACAATAACAATGATATCAGCTGCAGACGGACCACAGCCGGGTTCAGGGCTGCTTGTGGAGGTTGCTGGAGGTCGCTCATAGAAATCCCTAGGCACAGTGTCGTAGCACTTAGCTGTGCATAACAATAGATAAACAGACAAAACGAGAATTGAAGCAGCCATATGTTGTTGCTGCTACTGTTGCTACGGTTGTTGTTGTTGTTGTTGTCGTTGTTGTTGTTGTTGTTGTTGTTGTTGTTGTTGTTGTTGTTGTTGTTGTTGTTGTTGTTGTTGTTTTGATTCTGTTGTCGTTTAGCAACTAAGATATTGCGACTTGGGCAGTAGCATGTGCTCAGGAAGTGGTGCTTCATTAGACATTTGTTTAATGGAAGGCTCTACGTGTTTCTTCTGTGTTCCAGACGGCAGTCGTGAATTAGCCATGTGTCAGGCCAGTCACCAGGAAGAGCGAGCTCCAGTGTTCAGAACACCTACTTCAAAGTACCCTCATTAACCTTTAAGAATAGTAATTTTGCGATGGGCATAGGTACCATTTGGTATGGCTGAAGACAAGAGCATGACTCAGATTAAGCAAAAGGGTGCGTTTGTTTTTTATTGTGTTGCAGTGAAATCCAAGCATCACATTATCCTAGGCCTGTCAGTTTCCAAAGAGTTGTAGCCTTGGGTTGCACGACCTTACATACAGATCATAACGTGATTGCCGATTGCACAACGCCTGCTTGTGGCACCCTCCGCTGTGTGCCACCGGATACATGTATCTCTGATGCATTAGAATTGGATTTTGCAGCATTTATGTTGCAAGAAACCTCCACGAATACAAGCTATGTACCGTAATGTACCGCAAGAGCGACCCACCACCACTATCATCACCATGACCACTACCACTACCACCACCACCGCCGCCACCACCACTATCATCACCATGACCACCACCACCACCACCACCTCCCTTTTGGAGTCGTATTTCGGAGGTAGGGTCCTGTGTGTAGGTCATGCAATGCGTACCTTGTACACACAATGCGGCACTCTGTGAAGTCATTTCAGTCAATACCGTCCTCGTACTCAGTTGATTTTGAAGAGCAGATGCGAGATCCACACATGTACATGCTAAGTGTGACCTTCATTACCGGTAGTACACTACACTAAGGTTCTCACACCGTACAAACTGAGTTGCACTCTGTCATACAATATTCCTTTCTTTGGCTGTAAAATCAAGCCTCTCACAATGTACTCACAATGAACCGCCAAATTGCCAGAACATCATGTTCAATGTATCACCGCAATCAAAGAAGAAGAGCGGCAGGTTTGAAGTTATGGTAGTCAAATATGTACATTTCGTCTTGTTGCTTCCAGGTTTGGCAGAATTGTCGGCAGATTGACTTGACATGGCTTATCTACATTAGGGTAGTACATACACTTCTTTCAAAGTATCTTACGTTCACATGTGGGTGGTCGATCTGTGGTCCATTCACCACCACCTGCGCACACTGCACTTAGGCTTCCAGCCAAGATATAAGGCTGATCACACGTCCATGTCGCCTGTAGTGCCAACAGAGCAACCCATAATCATGGTGGTATTCATCAAAGTTTACTTGCACAATTGAACAAAGGGGAATCACCCCTTTTCAGGAGCAGCACAAAATCGATGTGCCGCAATCCACTGATGATATCCGTGACTGATGTTTGCCAACTAATTATTACTTCACTCATACGCCTGTATGCCATGGAACATACCCAGATGGAGCTAACACTGTTTAGGCCCCTGTTAGTCGGGCATTGGTGTCTGAGATTCGCCCTCACTCTCATCACTAGGCCAGCGAGCCACCAGTGCAGCAGGGTATGGTCAGGCATACCACCGGCAGGCTGCACTGGTGGCCCGATGCATGGCAAGCCACCAGTGCAGCAGGGTATATCCACTGCAGGCATACCAGTGCAGCACGGTAGTACCCACTGCAGGCATACCCTGTAGCACTGGTGGCCTGCACGACATGAACACAAACATTCTAATCTAGTCAGCGTGTTTCCAAACGCAATCGTATCACTTTACATGTATATGGCTGTAAAGTTTGGATGTGAGAAATTCAATGACATTGCTATACTTTACTTGATGCTTTTCTACACGTACTGGTGTATCACCACAAGATCCAGCTAGCTGTACACATCTGAATTGAAGCACTGGCATTGTGTGCAAACTGAGAATGTCATCTGCAGGAGGATGCTTGGACATATCATGCTGGTGGTCTAAAAATCTCAATCTGCGGACAGTACTCTGTACCGTCTGTCCGGTTTCACTCTTTGTGGACTCCTCAAAGCGCAGATGTATGGGGCCAAACTGGGTGTACTGTGAGAAGTAATTTCTCAAGCCAGAAGTTTACTGCCCTCAACCGTGATTCCGCAAAGTAGTCAACGGATGAAACAGTAACCTCTGCAGGTTGGATGACCAGGTCCTGCAGTCTTATCATCATCAAGGTGTTGGGCACGAGACAGTGCATGCGATGATATAATGTGATGATGTCATGCGATGATGTCATGTGATGATGTCATGCGATGATGCCATGCGATGATGTCATTCGCAGAATATCCACAGTTCCACACCGCAACCATGGTACTATTGGTAGCCACTCACCTTGGATCCAAATCTCAGCCCCGGTGTCCAAGTTACCGCACCGTTACGAATTGAAGGTGGTATGGGGCAGGTGATGGCTACAGTGCAGAGTGCAGACAACATCAATCATACAATCCGATTCATCACATGTAATACAGCTGTGGAGCGTGTGTGCAGATGAACTTAGCTAGGTGTGCGTACAACACTGCGGATACACTGGAGTTCTGCAACATCTTTCAGTTACTACAGCCTTACACAAAACACTAGGACAAGAAACACAAAACTGGGAGTGTCCGAATTGGTGAAGTTAATTAAGGGGACACATTCAATATGCGCAACACTTGAACATTCTAGCTTTCGGGTTTTAGGACCATACAACTCTCTTCTTCAACACCGTGACTGGAAACGTGGACTCGTACTCTTGTGGTGGCTAGAAGCAGACACATGGACAGGAGTAACATGTTAACGTCATCGAGTGTTGAGAAAGAGAGTCATGTCCTCCCAGGCCTGGAAACTAATAAGTGGCCCGAGTAAAAGAAAGAATGCACTTGTTGCGAGGTGTGTGCCTTACGCCTGCAGACCGGTGGCGAAGGAAACCAGTCAAACGTCCCGTTACGGCAGGTTAAAGTGTCTGGTCCATCTAGCCAAAAGCCTGTGTCACATTGGTATAGTGCCTGCAAAAAAATTAAATTCAGCAGAACAGGTCATTCACAGGGTGAAGGAGAAGAAATGACTAGAACATAATGAAATCATCAGTGAGGAGAAGCACTCCTGACACTTTCACGAAGATTATCGCCAAACAACTGAAGTGACAAAACATTTTCCTTCTGAACACATAGTTCAGGGGACAACTTGCGGATATAAAATGCTTCCAAAACAGACAAATGTAATACAGATCTGCTACGGGCCAAAACTGAGAAAACATCATCTCTGTACAACTCACGACAACTATCACTAACGGACAGATGACTCTTGATAGCCGATTGCTGATTGTTGGAATGTCGCGCCTTTTTCGTCACCTCCAATGTCGCAGCTTTTGACCCGTCCTTTCCACTGGCCAGTCACGTTCCAGTCACTTCTGATGTCGCAGGTCCTGACTCGTCCCTTCCACCACACCGTCTGGTCACTCGTTCGGTGTCTGATTATTACGTTGTCTTGATCAGTGGCTTTCGTGGTGGTCTTCCACGCTTCCTCCCACTTACGCTCGCCGTCACTTCCGGTATTGCCGCCTGTTCGTCTCCTCCAGTACGCATCCTCACCTGACTGCGAGTAACTCTTCGAGTCGGTGTCCCTGGCATTGCTTTAACAGCTCTGCGCCCCTTTGCCTTGCCGACTTGGACTTGGCCCTACTTACCCATGATGAGAAGGGAACGAAAACGTGTGGTTAACAAATTGGCTTACTTGACTGTGTGGATTGGGTCCGTGCTGACACCTTTTCTTTCAAAATTGGATACGCCTCCAATTTTTCCTCAAATAAAAATAAATTCATACATTGCGCATGCAGAATACTATCAAGCAGAATTTATAAGTGGTGACTTCAGCAGTAGTAATTGACAAAGTCGGTTACTCCTCAGGTCGTCATGGGCATCGGAAGCCATTTTAAATTGGCGCGGCTATGAAAGGCAGCAGGTCCCGCGGAATTTGTTTGGCAAATTGGGCCCAAATTGGGGCCGAATAGCCCATGTTTCATTCCTTCGAAAATCACAGAACAAAATGGCCTAAAATTATTGGAGCGGCTTTGGCCTCCTGTAGACCTGTGGTGAGTCAGTCAAGTACTGGTGTCAGCCTAAGGCAATTTGGGAGGAAGCATAAGCTCCACGTAGGAGCAACCAACTTGGGCGAACAGAACACTGAAGTGCTCCAGACACTATGGGCCCAAACTGCATGCAGTCCCTCTGAACCCTGCAATCCCCACCGCCAAGGAGGCTCCCTTCAATTGGAATCTAGAGCTCACCGTGCCTCCTGGGTAGAATCCGCGGCCTTCTATCCGTCTTATAAAACCATTCTCTGTGTGTGGCGGGACTAGACACACATATTCTGCCATACAAACAAAACAAGGAGAAGAGGGTATGCTCAACGTAAATGCGGGCCTTTTAGAATGATTGCCGCGCTTGTTAAGTTGAATTGGAAGGCTGTTGTTTGGCAGGGTGACGGTCATGCGATGCAACATACAGCACAACAACAAGAGGACGACGCACAATTTACTCTACGGCAGTAGAAAATACGCGGTGAACAAAGGGAAACGTACGTTGGCAAGT